TATTATAAATTTCTTTTTTTTTTCCTATCGTTAGTATTGTTATTATTTTTTTTTATATTATCATTGTTACTGTCATTATGATTATCATTTTTAATGTTTTTCTCGTAAGCTTTAATACGGACTTTGTATGGGCTATTTTTTACCATAAGGCCATGGTTGAATTTTTTTTTGATGATTTACTACATTCATCCTAAGTTGAAAAAATTTTTTTTCTTGTTCTAAGTGACACGAGAAAGGAGTGGTATTTTAAATTTTTTGACGTTAATTGTATTGTTTTTTAAGAATTAGTATGTAAATTATAAAGAAATGTCATATGATTAGATTTACTTACATGGCAAAGGAGGTAACTTATTAGAAAAACTCTTGAATTCAGTTTAAACATTTTCTTCATTCAAATTAATACCTGAAAATATACACTTATTATTCTAAATGTACTATTTTATTGACTTTATAGAACTAGTATTTGAACAGAAGATACAGAGTACTGTATAGATTTACATTTTTTTTAAAAATTGGTCAAATGTGTATTTATTGTAGATTCTTGGTTCTATTAGGATATTAAAAAGTAACATATTCTCTAATTGAACAAAGAATGCAAAATATGTTTGTGAAAAAAGCATCTTGTAATTGAGCTATTGTGAGAACTTTGTGCTTACATAAGTCATATCAATATTATTAATGTCATCATTATGATTATCATCGTCATCACTATTATCATCACCATCATTGTTATCATTTCCATTATTATTATAATTATTATTATGATCATTATCATTATCATCATCATCATCATCATTATTATCATCATCATCATTATCATCACCATCATTGTAACCTTTATTATCATCATTATCATTATAATCATTATAATTGTTTTCATCATTATTATTATTAATACGTTTAGTATTATCATTATCATTACTGATATCATAATCATTATCATCATTATTATTATAATTATCTATAAAGTTAAACTCATCATCTTAACTATAATCATTATTGTAAGCTTTATCAACATCGTTGCTATTATCGTTAGTAAAATCATGCTAATATCATAATTATGGTCATTATCATTATTCTTATTATCCTTATTATATTTATCATCAACATCGTAATAACTACTCTAATAATTATTATCATTATAATTACTATCGTTATAATCATTATAATTATCATTATCATCATCATCATCACCATCATCATCATCATAATCACCATTATCATTATCGTTATTTTCATAATTAACATGATTATGCTTATCATCATTCTCATTATCATCAAAACTTTTATCATTATCATCATCAGTATCAACTTAATGATAATAATAAAAGTCATCATGATTATCATTTTGTTGTCGTTATTTTTAATCTCATAATCGTAATGACCCTCAGCATTATAATCATCATCGCCATAACCATCGTTATGATTATCCTCGTCGATATTATCATCCTTATTATCATCATTATCATCATCATTATCAACATCATTGTCACTGTAACTATTAAAATTAAAAAACTATCTTTGTCACTATCCGTATTATTATCATTCTAATTATTATAATCATAATAATTATAATTAACGTCAATAGTAATTATTTAAATTATTATAACCATTATTTGTATTATTAACAAAGTTATCATTATCATATACATTATGATAATAATCATTATCATTATCTTGTACATTATTATTATAATCATTCTCTTTGTCATCATTATTATAATTATTATCATTGTCATATTCATCTTCATTATTTTTATCATCATTATCATCTTTACCATTTATTATAATTATTATCATTATTATTGTCATCAACAGCACTATGTTATTCAAAATTATAGTCATTTTAATAATTATTACAACTATTATCATTATCATCATTATCGTCATCATCATTATCTAAATCATCATCATAATCATTATCGTCTTCATAATTATTATAATCATTTTTAGCGTCATTATTATCCTCATCATTGTCATAATACATTGCAATATTGTCATTACAATCATCGTCACCATAATCATCCTTATTATAATTATAAACATTATATTTAANTCATCATCATCATCATCATCATCATCATCATCATCATCATCATCATCATCATCATCATCATCATCATCATCATCATCATCATCATCATCATCATCATCATCATCATCATCATCATCATCATCATCATCATCATAGAAGTTCTTAGAGATAAACTTTTTTTTCCTAAGTCTGATAATTTGATAACGCGTCATAAGACAATAGTTTAAAATACTAAACGATGCGTGAGGGTATTTGTTTGCAGCTGCTTTACGATGAAGGGAAAAGAAAAATTTTAAGTTATACGTAAAAGCAATTTTGCTCTCGTCAACAGCTGACAATACTTGAAGTTTTTTTAGCACTTTAAAAATGTTATGGATCAACAAAATTGCACACTTTGAACTTTGATAAATGCTTTTTAGTTTAGAGACTGAAAGTTTATTGAATATTCTCGATGGGCTTAGAATTAACCTTTTTACTTAGACACAGTGTAAGTGACTTCTGTATTTTCTACTATTAATTAAGGTACTAAAAAGTTTAAATCTTGAATTTATACAATATTCTTAACTTAAAGATACTGAAGCCTTTGCTATTCCCTATAGTAAAAAAATTTGTCTTAATATTATAGTGCGTCTGATAAAATCACTTTTTAAGTAAGCCATAAATGTACAGAGTTTGTTAGGATGAAGCAATTATTTTTTTTATTCAAGTTTACTAGAATAGTGGGCTTTGATTGAAGAAAAAGCAGTTGGGTCAGTTATCATGCATTAATTTATTTAAATAAGAAAAAATAATTTACTCTTTAACACTACACTGCTCAGATTGATAAAGAAGATCTTAGATTTATAATAAAGAGAAAATAGTATTAAAAATTGTAAGGCTCAATTTAAATCAAAACCCTGTTGAGAGATGAAATGATTGTCTTACTGTTATAATTTTTTTTTCTTATAATATATCTTTCTCACTTTTTATCACTAAATTTTAATATATACCTCCATGACGTGGGAATAACAACACATCAGCGATTATACTGTCTTACGCAAAGAGGTAAGTTAAAGGCAATAGAAAAGTTTCTAGGTAGCTTTTTTATATGAATAAATACACAAAAATGTTCACTACAGCCTCATGTGAGAGACTCCTCAAATACAGTATAGCTAACAGGGTATGCTTTTACTTGCACACAATATACTATGCTTGTATATAAAATCAGATGTTGAACAGCTATGGTCTATCTACAACGTGAATGCTATTTAAAAAAAACTAATATTCTCGATACATCTAATGCACTTGATAATATTGCTACGTAAGCTTATTGGAATAACATTTTTATAGAAAAATTACTTCTTAAAAAGCTTCTGCAATGTTTGCTTTAAAAGGCATGTAGCTCTAAGCATGTAACTCCAGATTTCTTCACCGTTAGTTTCAGTAAATCTTAAAAAGTGGTTAAGTTACTGAAAATAGCAGCAAACAATTTTTCAAATACAAAGAGATCATTTCCGTACAACTATTAGATTAAAAGATCCAGTGCTCTGTACTCAAGCCATTATGACTCAAAGAATCATTAGTTATCTGTTAAATCAGCCTAAAGGCAGCCTGGAGACTACTTTGGAAACGATCGCTCGCAGCAGTTTCTCTGAGCCTTATGCACGTTTTCATCGCGTTATTTCTTATTCAATTGCCTTGCGCTTTGGCTCAAAAGGTCCTTGGCTTTCACTCTTTGGCAGTGATAATGATTAATTTTATTTTCTACGTGGAATCTGTTTGCTTGTGTCATTTCATAACCAGTCTAGTACGTTATATCCATATACGAGTATAGTTACGAATTATTTCAAAACTTTTTTCTTGGCCTACCACCCTTAAGTTCTAGTTGAGACTTGCTTCGTTGATTGTGGACACAAATTTAATTATGAAATTGACTCTTCCACTCAGCCTTTGAGTATTGATAAGGGAGTAACGGGACCATTAAGTAATGTTGTAATCAACTCTTTTTCGTTGGTAGAGCATAATGAGCTCCTTGATAAAATTCAGTATGCACCAATTATTCATGACTCAAATACAAGCTAAAATTTATCGGAATGTCCGAAAATAAAAAATAAAAATTTCAAATATACTGGTTGGAGCTTTACTCGATACAGATTGTAAGGTCACATATATATCAGCGCCATTTTTTGAGAAGTATAAGGTAGTATTTAGAAATTGTTTATCTTTCTCTATGTTGGAGGTACTAGCAACGGATTTTGTCGGAGAAAAACCAGCACGAATCAAACGACAAATTGGTAGCGTTATTTAAGTTGTAAATCATGAATTAACACTTGATTTTTTTGTTACCTCGTGGTTATTACGTGACTGCATCATACTTGTCGATAGACGAAAGGGCATGGAATAAGTTGTTGATATAAGAAAAAATATCCTAAAAATTCACACAGAACATTGTTTTGAATTAGTGCCATTTTTTAGCGATTAATCTTCAGGCAACGATGTGATACGTATCCGAAATAAATATTTTACCAAATTTAAAGATTCATAATCGTCAAATAACGAAATTAAAGACAATTCAACTGATGTTCCAAGACTATCAAGTAAAGACAAAAAGTCCCTCCGGTCTTTACTCATAAAATATTGTCTTATTTTTTTCAAAAATCCGAGAATTTATGGTTCACATAAACACAGTCTTATTGTAAATGACTTTTTTTTAAATGGTTTTTTTTTTTTTTTTTTTTTTTTTAATTTTTTCGATGCCAATTCGTTTGGTGGGTCAAGTTTATGATGAAGTTAAGAGCATGCTTGTGTGAGGTATGATTAAATGTTCATATAGCCTATTGATAAGCCCATTACGATCAGTTGTTAAAAGTAATAGGACTATTTGTTTTTATCGAGATGCACGAGAACTTAATAAACGTCGACAAGATTAAGATAATGGTTCCCTTGACGTCAAGTGCTTGGTCTGTTGAAAGCTCCAAAGTAAATTAATTTTTTTAATCAATTTTATTATACATAAAAGCAAATCGAATTAAACATTGGTACACAGTACTTAAGGAAGCGTAAAAAAATACAGAACCAGTGGACAGTGGGTGCTTGGGTACCCAAGTATTAAGTTATAACTCTATAAAATTATATGGCAAACAATATAATTATGAGTATAAAAATACCTTCTATGAAACAATATTGTGTACGAAGGTGGTGCAATTATCGTGGAAATTAGTGTACCTACGTAAAGTGGGTGTGATTTTGATTTATTTTTAATGAGTTAACGATTATGAACAATATACGACGGCACAATATAATAAAAATAATATATAGCCTGACTAGTCCAAGACTGTGCACTTTCATTAAATCTTCCGGTGATTTTAGAACAACATTCTACTGCCTA